GGAGTTGTAAAGTATTTTGTCTAGTGTCAATTATATCGTCAGTTATATCGTTATCGCAAATTTTCAAATGTATATCGTGATAAATATTTTTGGTCATATCGCCCTGCTCTACTCCCCTGAATTGAAATGTGAAGATGTTTTGTGACTTCTACGCCGTTACTGTTTACTCTGGGTCATGAAAAGTCTTCATTGAAAAGAATAAACAGAAGTGGAAGGGAATACAAGCTTAAAGTTATTCATAATTTTAGTGTGTTGTTAACTTGATCACAATTTTTAAATGCATGTAACTTACACACTGCATATTAGTGCTATTCACAAACATTTGCAGAGAACTCTCATGAATATATTGGTAAATCAACAAGAAACACTGAGAAATATGACTCTTGAAATATTTGACCTGTATAAAGTATTATGGCCATCACACTATCTTTTTCAACTGTTTAATAACTCGTGTCTTAAATGTATTTCACATCGTTCACTTTTGAGTCACAAACTTTAGAAACATTCTGGGCCATTCATACAACCTGGAAAGTTTGGCTTAAAATTATTGACCAATTTAAACACTGGGTGGTGAACAGAAGATGGCAAAAGACAATAAATACAAAAAAAGAGAAAAAAACAACAACTTGGTACCAAACTCTTGAACCTTAATGTCACAGAGTACATAGTGTGCATTATTATTACTATTATTGTGTAGGCATTAGTAAATACTAACTTAATAAAGATGTGCCACGCTTAATTTCATAAGAAGCATGAAGATACAGTGATCTTTATCCAGAAGTGGGAATTATGTTTGTGGCTAAACCATTATACACAAAAACATCAAAAATCTTAGTGTGTGAGGCTGTGCCAGTAAAGGGTCGTAGATTTGACTTCTTAGGGTTGTGTAAGTGGTTGAGCATATGATTTCTGCTTACAACTTAGAATCTCAGTTCTGAATGAAATTCAAAATGTTTTTTATAACTATGGTTAATGTATAGTTTGACTTCTAAGGTACACACAACACAACAAGACATAGAAGAGGGGATAGTTTACTACACATCATAAAAACACAAACATTAATC